TCATATATGTGCTCTGAGGATGATGTATACGACTAAGACTCTTTTTTGATGATGTATGTACTCAACTAAAAGTTGTCCACCAGCCATATTAAGTACCTTACCAAATATATTTATATACATAGCTATTTGTTTTTTTTAACTAAGTTTTGACGGCCTCAACTTGTAAAATTCAAAGAAGAGCCTAACAAAGCAGACAAAAAGTGACTGCAAAAACAAATTTTATTAGTTTTCTATGGCATTAGTGGGGGGAAAAGAGCAAAAGGTATCTACAGATTCAACCACTGGAATCTACCCTGATTCCACTTGATTTATTATATCCAAGATTCTACTCTGATTCTTTTGTGTGCCCTATGGATTTCCCCCTTCATAATATCATCCTTCGATAGATGTGATTATTAGTAATAAAATTGAGTACTGGGTTTTGCATGTGGGCGTATTTGAGTCATGGGTTTGGATTGGGTATTGGGTTTGGGTTTGGGTTGAGTACAGGGTGACGTAGGGTAAATGTTAAATATAAAAATCAAGAATAATCAAAAGTTAGATAAATTTAAATTTATTTATTTATAAATTAACTGAATATTACTATTAAAATTTAATCTAAATATTAATTTTTATTAAATATCTAAAAATTTAAACTAAATATTATTATCAACACGCAAATAAAGTATCAAAATGTTTTGCCACGCATACAATGCACAATCACAGTTTAATATTTCAAACAAAAATCAAATATTTGTGTTTAAGTAAAATATTTTTTATTTACTTCTACTCTCCATCAACTTTTAAAAAATGCTTTTACAGTAAATTAATGGAACCTTAGAAACAATCGAAGACAAATATGAGAAATATCGAAATAAACTAAGGGTTTATTTTTTAAAGTAGATCATTTTTGAAATTATAATTAAACCTAAATCAGCAATGGTGGATCCATGAATTAAAAAATGGGAGTCCAAAATAAATATTATAATATTCACTGGTTTAGACTCAAACAAGAAATTGACAGTTGAGTAGAGTGGGGTTTGGGTCTGTGTGAATTTGAACTAAAACACAAAACAGAAGCTTTAGTTATAGGTGAAATGAATGGTTAAAAATGATATATATTATTTTAATCAATAGTTTTTAATTTAAAATATGAAATAAAAGGTTGACACATGTTTTTAACTTTCTACTCACGTCATTTGAGCATAATTTTTTTTTAAAAAAGTCAGCAGAAAAGTAAAAAAAAAAATTGTGCAGAATTTTTAAGTTTTGATATAATATATTAAGTGTTGATATTTTTTTTTATGAAAAATGGGTATGCAATTGCTACTCCTGCGCCACTGCCTAAATGATTCTGTACACTCGAGGGTTCTACGGTAAACTTACGCCATTTCTTTCGAAGGTTTTTATTGTCTTTGCATGGAAGCACGTTCTAAAAGTCAAACTTCGAATTCAATTTGCCACGTCAACAAAGAAGATTTTAGATTTGAAACCTGTGAATGCAACAATCTGCCACGTCAATCTGTACAGCTTTGATCCAGGGATCTTCAAAATCAAGCTTTGTTGGAAGTGGTTGAGATCTTGCATGCTGGCCAAGCCCAATCTTTCACCTTTCAATATTTTCTCCAGATTTATATACACGTGGCTTATTATTAAGGCAGACAGATGACGGAGATGACGTGTAAAGGTTTTTCACGGTAGTTAAAACGAAGGCTGGCTAAATTGGGTACGCTACTACTTCCACGTGCTCCAATCATAACTCTCCACGTTTATGATATTCAGAACGTTGACTTCTTTTCCTAGTCGATTATATATATCTTTATTTCCCCAAACTGCACATCGTCATGGGGACAATGTTTGACTCATTCTTTTATCTCTTTTTTATTTATTTTTTTTACAAGAAAATAAATTCGAATTAATGTAAATTTATCAAGATTAATATATCTTAAATTTGGTAAATTATAACACATCAATATACATATATAAGTTCCTGTATATATATATATGTTATTGTTTATGAAATATAAACTCAGAGATTACATATAAGTATTAGATACAATAATAACATATAACAAGTTTTAACTTCATGTCAAATAAATACTAATTGCTTAACAAATACATGGGAAAATTATAACGATAAACTGTATAAGTAAGGAATTAATGCAATAGAAAAGTAGTTGACTTTTGACGAGATAATGATTAGAACGAAAAGATATAGATAAAGTAGTTATCTATTTGAAAATTTTAAATTATTGTATATATATATATTTTATTAATAATCTATTTTTACCTCATAAAATTTTATAAATTCGTACTCATAATATAAAATCCTATGTATACGTCTACTAATTGCTATTAAAGCCTATGATGATAGCGAGTTATGGAATGCACGAGCTTCATCACTTTGCATTGTTCAAAAGGAAAACTATCCCATTGTTCACCGGACCAAGTTGTACTATGACCAGCTAGCATTTTGCTTAGCTAGCACACATTTGAGTCGGTCTCACTACCCTATTTAAAGCCACCCCTCCAATTCCCCATCCAAAACTATCGTCCCACAAGGCCACAAACCAACAATGTCTACCACTCTTTTCTTCATGTTTTTACTCTACTTCTTCCTTCTTTTATCTCCTCTGTCTCAGGTAATCAGATCGAGTTCTACGGTAATCATTGCTAGTGCCACAAGACCATTGGCGTCAAAGGATCAAGATTTAATCACATTCAATCCCAAAAAAGATATGAAACATGGTTTTCATAAACAAGATACGAAGGGTTGCTTACCTAAAGGATTTCATCATACATCGGCACCTAGTCGGTACATAAATGATCATACTTTCGATTTGAAAATCTGTTCAACAACTTCAGATATCTCAACCAAACCATAAGAAATTTCATCAAACTTAGATGAAAGATAAAGAATACAAGCATTGTTCGTGTTATATATACAGTGTCCTTCAAACTATATATGTAAGTAGTTGATGAGTTATAGAAGATAAAGGAAGAAGAAATTAAAGAAAATGTAAGTGTGTATATATATAAAATAATGAATATTTGATGGATGATAGAATCACAAGAATTGAAGGTGTTGTTTGATAAACTGAAAATTTAAGGGATGAAAAATATTGAAAAATTAAACACGGAAAAATTAAACATTAAATTTTCTTTGATATTTTATTTGAAATTACATTGATTTTGAGATTTAATATCAATCTAGATCAAAGTGATGTTCTTTGTTAGTATATTACAAACTCGGTATTTGAGTAGATATTAATTATTCATTAAAATATTTTAATAAAATTGAATATAAAATTAAATAAAGCATAAACTACGTCATACACCACTAAACTTTATTCGCTCACTCGTTTATACCACTGAACTTTCAACTTTGTCAATTATAACACTGAACTTTAGTTTAACATTCAATTATGCCACGTTGTCGTTAAGTCAATAATAAGACGATGACATAACTAACAGTTACTGACGTGCCATGCCACACTAAAACGACATGTTTTGATGCAGCTATTCTAATGCTTAAAATGTCGTCCTATTAGACACTAAACTTTTGGTGTGTGTCAATTTTATCACTGAACTTTTAAACACTTTTCTTTTTTACCACTACACGTTTTCGATTGTTTGGCCGTTATTTTCGTTTTTTTCAAGGTTAGATTTGACATCGCCACGACTGATCAAGATGACGCTTATTTGTTATCATGTGATATTCCTTACTTTGGACCATCAGATTGAATTTGTATACGCGATTTACGTTTGTTGATAATATTTTTACATTGCTCGATTCTGATTTACAGTTTGTCGGTGATCTTTCAATATTTTCATCTCATTTTGTTGTTCGTTTACCGGTGTAGTCAAATCTGTTCGTATTTATCTTTTGTTCGAGTTTATTTTATTAATTGTTTAACCTTTTTCCTTGTATGATCATTGTGTGATCTTAAGTGACTAGTTTTTTATCTTTAAGAAAATATCTTTATTATGTGTTTGCTTTATGATTTTAATTATAAATCTTCAATATAATTTGAATATTTTATATTTTCAATAAAATTAGCGGTTTCTAATAAAAATATTCGATCTCTCAAAGCATTTTGCAAGAAGCAACACTGACATTGATGGCCACAAGTTCGAATCCGACCCAGCACACCTATCCTTTTTTTCCCCTTCATTAAGGTATTGACACATGCACTACTTTATTGGAGAAATTTTTGTTAAATTAAATAAATTAAAATTAGTAAAATATCTTCTAATCATGTAATGATATCTTGAAAAATTAGACCTCTAATTCAAAAAATTAAAAAATATATAATATAAAACTTTAATTAGAATTTTTGAGAAATGAAACTATTTATTATTATTAATATAAAACTTAATAATTACAATTAACACTTTAACAAATTTATAGCCCCATTATTTTATTTTATAGATTTTTTATAAAAAATATTATTTTATTTTACAATTATTTTCTAAATTTCTTATAAAAACAAAAATATATTATACTAATAATATTTTTTAAATTCTGCTCTGGATGGTGTCCTTTTTGTCCTGGCCCAAGGCCGGCCTGAATGACACGTGTTAGTATTTAATAAGATATTAAATTTATTTAGTTGAATTAAAATAAAGATTAAATTGACATAAGATGTCAATATCATGAACAATATATATAGTTATATCATTTTTAATAACCAGTTAATTTTTTTTATAAATTATGACCAATAACTTGATTATAACATTTCACTAATTAAATGATTTGATTAATAAAATTTTAAAATTGATAATTAAAGTGAAAAAAGAAATAATCAAGTGATGAAAATTTATATATATTTATGATAAATATTATAGCGATTTTTGGTATGAACACTCAAAATTTCATTCTACGTTGACCATCATCAATGGCCTGTTGAGAACGTTACCCACATCGTGACTTTAAAGTTCAAACATGAATGAAGTGATTCATATTTCATTCAAAGTGAAGCGAAAGTGAATAATTATTCAAGAACCAAGACACTATTAACTGTTCCTTTTCTTTAATCTATTCCCCTCAAATCCTACCTTCGTAAACGAAGACATGGCAGAGCCCTTGGTTGGTGGGGCATTTCTCTCTGCATCACTTCAAGTTCTGTTCGATAGGATGGCCTCTCGAGAACTCCTGGATTTCATTAGAGGAAAGAAACTGGAAAAGGGGTTGGTGAAGAAATTGAAGCCGATGCTGATGTCTGTTAAATAAGTGTTGGATGATGCTGAAGACAAGCAGATAACGAACCCAAATGTCAAAGATTGGGTTTCTGAGCTTAAAGATGCTGTTTATGACGCAGAAGACCTGTTCGATGAAATTGCAGCTGAAGCACTCCGAATCAGGTTGGAATCCCAGGATCAAATTGCTTCAACGAAGGTAAGTCGAATTATTTCCTCTTTCAATCCTTTCAATAGAGGCATGGATTCTAAGCTAGAAGACGTTCTTGAGAGATTAGAATCTCTTGTCTACCAAAAGGATACTCTGGGTTTGAAAGAATATTATAGAGGGGAGAAGGTATTTCAAAGACCTGCTGCAACTTCTTTAGTGGATGAATCCAGTGTTTATGGTAGAGACAATGAAAAAGAAGCAATAATGAAGTTGTTGTGCTTGGAAAATGCAAGTGGAAATCAGTTAGATGTGATTCCAATTGTGGGTATGGGAGGGGTTGGTAAAACCACCCTTGCACAATTGGTCTTCAATGACAAGAGAGTGGATGAGTGGTTTGACATCAAAGCGTGGGTGTGTGTTTCGGAAGAATTTGATGCTTTGAGAGTAACCAAAACCTTACTTGAAGAGATCACTTCTTGCTGTATTGCGAGTCACAATCTAAACCAGCTTCAACTTAAACTAAAAGAGGAGCTGTTGGGAAAGAAGTTTCTATTCATTTTGGATGATGTTTGGAACGAGAAGTATGTTGATTGGGAAGAGTTGAGAAGTCCTTTCAGTTTTGGGGCGAGAAACAGCAAGATTGTTGTAACTACTCGCAGTGAAAACGTTGCATCCATTATGAGTACGGTTCCTACTTATCCTCTTAATATCTTATCCGATAAGGATTGCTGGGAGTTATTTGCAAAACATGCATTTGTTGATACAAGCCCGAGCATGCATCCGAATTTGAAGGTAGTTGGTGAAGCCATTGCTAGAAGATGCAAAGGCCTCCCTCTAGCGGCAAAAGCACTTGGAGGTCTTCTACGGTGTAATCTGGATGTTGATGAATGGAATAAAATATCAAACAACAACTTGTGGGACATAACAGATGGTATCCTTCCAGCTCTGAGATTAAGTTATTATTATCTTCCTTCACATTTGAAGCGTTGCTTTGCATATTGTTCACTTTTTTCGAAAGACTATGAGTTCAAGAAAGAAGAACTTGTCCGACTGTGGATGGCTGAAGATCTTTTGCTGCATTTCAATTCAAAAGAAGAGATGGAAGAACAAGGTAAAGAGTACTTCAAAGATTTAGCATCGAGATCTTTTTTTCACCAATTAAGGGCAGATAAACCTTGTTTTGTCATGCACGACCTAATCAGTGATTTAGCTAAATCTGTAGCTGGGGAGTTCTTTTGGAGATTGGAAGGTTGTGATAGTTTATGTGCAATAAATCGAAAGGCACGTCATTTATCCAATGTCCAAGAACATTATGATGTGAGAAAGAAATTTGAGACTTTACCTAAAGCCAAAGGCTTGCGTACATTCCTGAGCATAAAGTCATTACCTGGGAATTTTTATGTTACCAATGACATAATGCATGATTTGATCGCCAAATCGAGGTTACGGGTACTTTCTTTGGCCAACTATTGCAATATCAATGAAATACCAAAAGAAATTGGTAAGTTGAAGCATCTGCGAAGTTTGAACCTCTCAGGAACTTCAATTAAAAGTTTGCCAAATTCTTTTAGTACATTGTATAATTTGCAAATGTTGACCTTGTTTCGTTGTAGTAAGCTTGTTGAGCAACCTAAAGACATGGGGAGACTGATTAATATGTATTATCTCAATATCAGTGGAACAGTATTAGCAGGGATGCCAAAAGGAATGGGTCAGTTGAAAGATCTTCGAACATTAACAGATTTTGTTATAGGCGAGCAAAATGGTTCAAGTATTAATGAGCTGGGAAAGCTAAAGAATCTACATGGAAGACTTGCCATTTCAGGTTTAAAAAATGTTGCATTCGCAAGGGATGCCAAAAATGTCAATTTGAAAGATAAAATGAATCTTAAGGAGTTGGAATTTCTATGGAAGAAGCATACTTATGATAGTGAAGCACTTGGGCAATTTGAGAATGATAAAGAAGTGCTTCAACAACTGGAGCCTCATACAAACTTGGAGAATCTTCTAATTGGGTTTTATAGAGGTACGACATTTCCAGAATGGGTGGGACATTCTTCATTCTTAAATATAGTATCTGTGCACTTAAGGGGTTGCAAATTTTGCTTCTCCTTGCCACCGCTTGGGCAATTGCCATCTTTGAAATCTCTCTCTATTTCTGGATTTAGTAAAGTAGTTACAGTCAGTGATGAGTTCTACGGGAGTGATCAGTCTTTGACTAAACCATTTGGATCTCTTGAAATTCTAAGATTTGAGGATATGCCGATGTGGAAAGAGTGGTCTTGTTTAAAAGTCAAAGCATTCTGCCTTCTGCAAGAGCTAAGCATAACAGATTGTCCCATGCTAACGAAGAATCTACCAGAACACCTCCCATCTTTAACGAAACTGGAGCTAAGAAATTGTGAGAAGCTTCGAAGCTTGCTTCCAAGGACAACTAGCATTTGCCAACTTAATTTACGGAGATGTGATGCACTACAATTGGAGCCCTTGCCTTGTGGGCTTCGAATGTTGCAAATTCAAGATTTGAATATTGATGATTCCATGTTGGAGAAGATGGTGCAACACTGCAGTCGTCTTGAAAAGTTAGCTATGTTGGGTTGTTCTAATCTCAGAACCCTTCCTGAAGGTAAGCTACCTGTTACTCTTAAAGAATTGAACATTGAAAGGTGTTCTGTTTTGGATTGTTCGAAAACCCTCCTGTATGCATCCCTTGAATCCTTGGTCATAGAAGGCTGGTGTCATAAACTGGAGTCTTTTCCATTGGGCTCAATTCCTATGCTAAATCGTGTTTCTATTTGGGAATGTGAAAGCTTGAAGTCAATTCGTGCATTAAAGGATTCTCACCAGCATCTCGCGTGTCTCAATTATTTGGATATCTACCATTGCACTAATTTTATATCTTTTCAAATTGAAGAGGGATTATTTTTCACCAATTTGACTTCACTTACACTTTGGAATTGCATGGCTTTAAAGTCATTGCCTGAGCAAATGCGCTCCCTCTTCCCATCCCTTCAGCATTTGTCGATACGGTACTGTCCAGAAATAGAGTCATTTCCTGAAGAAGGTTTATCCTCCAAATTAAAAACTTTTGAAATTGGAAGATCCGACGAGTTAATTGCAAGCATGATGAGGAGAGCATGGGGTTTGCAAGGACTCCCTTCACTTACAGGTTTTGAACTCTCAGGTGCAGAAGTAGAGATAGAGTGTTTTCCAGATGAACATATGTTGCCCTCTTCTCTTACATCTCTCACCATCTCTGATCTCCCGAACCTTAAGTTTTTGGACAATAAGGCCTTTCAACACCTCACCTCTCTTCGTGAATTGATTATTGACAGCTGTCCGGAGCTCCAATCCATGCCGGAAAAGAGTCTCCTTACCTCTCTTTCTCATTTGTCCATTAACAATTGCCCCTTGCTGAGAAAACGTTGCAAAAAGGAGAAAGGCAAAGATTGGTCCAACATTTCCCACATCTCTGTCATTCACAATCATGGAGAACTCACTATGTAGCAAGACTCCGAAGCCATGTGACTTAAATGTTTCAATTTGCCATTATTAAAGCAGTCTAATTCAGGTACTCCATTCGTTTTCATTCCATTTCACTACTTATTTTAGTTATTAATTTATTTATTGTCTTTTCAAAAAAACATTTGAGAGTTGTATATTGTGTACTCATCCTTGTTACATTTTTGCTTCTGTTACAGTATTAATATGAATTGTTTGTACTGTTTAGTTTTGCATTTCTTTTATTTTTGTCCCACAGATTTTGTTGTCAATATTACAATAGTTCAAATATATTAAAAAACATTTGAAATAGGTTGAGGGTACCTTTGTCTTAGCTTTGCTAGGACACCCCATCATGGCACCCTTCCATCCACAGTAAATTTAATGGCTCCATAAGGTGAAGCAGTCCATTTCCGAACCAGTCTAGCACCCTTAGCTTGTTTTATGGGACAAAAAGCGTTCGGTATCCTTAATTTGTGATCAGCAGCCTTTTTACTGTCATGTCACCTAGCCTTGACCCACCACATGCGCCTACACTTGGTTTTCACAGCCCGGCTATCTTCCAGGTTTTATTGCATCGGTTGGTCGGACACGCATGTTGCTGAACTCTTTGAGCAGATTGTACAATTTGCAAAACTTAACATCAATAGATTTTGTTTCATATCTTCAGATGGGGAATACGCAGTATCTAGATATTAGGGGAACAATGTTATGTAGGAGACCAAAAGGAGTGGGCAAGTTAAAAGTCTTTTTACATTAATAGATTTTGTTTTAGGCAACCAAACTAGTTCAAGCATTATAGATGCTACCAAGACTTTTGAGGCATGCCTCGTCACTCGTTTTTAGAGGTATTTATGGCCGGGATCAGAGGTCGTAATTAATTTTTTACTATACTTGGGATCAAAGATACTTAAGAAGATGAATTTTTAGGTATTTTTACTATATAGTAAAAATGAATAATCTGATGTTTCTAATAATCAAAGTTACTTAAGAATATGAATTTATGGGTATTTTTTTCTAATAAACATTTTATTACTCCAGAATTGTATTCAAAATATTTTATATTTGTAAATTTGAATATTTAATAATTTTTAGTACCGATAGTTTAAGATATTTGTATATTTATTCCAGCCACCTATCGTTTTATATATTATGGTGATTTTAATTGCTTTTGTGTAGACTATTCGTGTTAAGTTTAATGACTTATTAATTCGAGTCGACTCAAATTATTCGACTCTAATAACTCAAAATTAAAAATGTATATATTTTGAGTTGAACCATACCCCAACTAAACATTACAATTTTATATTCATATCAAATAAATCAAATAAGATAATATAATATTTCATGAAATAATATTATATTTTAAAAATTTTATTCTCGGAAGTAATATTGTATTTTGTAGGTCAAATATATCCTTAATTACGAACACACTATTTATAATATTATATTACTTTTCCAAAAATAACATTTCTTCGTTCAAATATTTTTTGATTAATTTGATATAAGTACAAGATAATATATTTTTAAAAAAATTTAATCATTTGATATTGAATGCATATCCCTAATATACATAATATTTAAATCTAAAACCTCAAAGAATAATAACAATTCCTTAACGACTTAGTTCGTGTCTCCGTTCAACATTACATGAGTGTAAAGTACAAGATTATCAGGCCACAATATAAGATTTAGGCAACTAAATGCCTAGCAGAAGTTAATAAAGGGGCTTTTGTACAACAAAAGCAGAAAAAGGAAAAGCCCAATGCGCAGCATAAATAGTTTAAGGGTAAAGTATAGTTTTCATTTAGGTCCCAAAACTTTTAAAACTTTCAATATAGTCCCCTAATATTTAATCTGTTTACAATATGGTCCCCTAATATTTAATCTGTTTGCAATATGGTCTACAACCGTTTGATGCCGTTAAAACGTTTGTAATATGGTCATTAAACTTTTCATGCGCTAGCATTTAGGTCTCCCAACTTTTAAAATTTGCAACACAGTCCTAAATTTCATTATAATATTAAGTAATACTAATTTGTTGAGATATAATATTAAGTAAATTGTTTTAACTGATTATGATTGGAAATTTATTTATTTTAAATGAACGCTAAGAAAGCATTTAAAAATATATATATAATATTAAGTAATACTAATTTGTTGAGATATAAAAAGGATGTCAAGTAAGATTCTTAAGTCAAATGATTAAATTAAACTTTATAATTTATATGAAAGTTAGAGCAAATTTAATTATCTATAATGTAAATTACCCAAAATCAAACGTAATTTCAGTTTTACACAAAAAAAAAACAAGGGAAGAAAGTGGGCAATTCTATCATGAGAAAAATTACAATAAATCTCAACCAACCTACGCTTTCATCTTCTCACACCCGACGGCTTGGTCAGCAGGTGCACAGTCAATAAAATTAGAGATTGCTTCAGTGTTCATCGTGATCATCATCCTCTTCAGTCGCCCCACCCGCTGGGGCTCCACCAGATCTTTGGTATACAGCTGTGATGATGGGGTTGCATACAGCCTCAACCTCTTTGAGCTTCTCCTCCTAGTCTTCCTTCTCGGCAGTCTGGTTATCGTCAAGCCATTCGAGAGCCTCCTTTAAGGCAGTTTCAACTTTCTCTTTCTCATCGGCTTCGAGCTTGTCAGCAAGCTTATCCTCGTCATTAATCTGGTTTTTCATGATGTACACATAGGTCTCCAGGCTGTTACGAGCATCAATCCGTTCCTTCACCTTTTTGTCCTCCTCGGCAAATTCTTCTGCCTCGCGGACCATTCTTTCAATCTCCTCCTGGCTTAGACGACCTTTGTCTAAGATACTGTGCCCTTATCTTCTGCCTTAACGTTTAAGCTACTGTTTGCATCAACTTCAAATGTAACTTCAATTTGAGGGGCTCCCCTGTGCAAATGAGGGATAAAAAAAAGTCAAGTCAGTTAACGGAGGTGAGATGCACAGAAAACAAAGAAGAGAACTGATGGAGGAGAAAGAGAACCTTGGAGCTAGAGGAATCCCAGTAAGATCAAATTTCCCAAGCAACCTGCAATCCTTTGTGAGACTCCTTTCACCTTCATATACCTGACATCAAACACAGCAATTAAAATAAAGTACAAAACATTCCGGTTCTTAACTGGGAAAATAAAATCCAATTTTCAAGCAAGCATTTCCAAGTTTTAACGATAAGCCTGTAAAATTTACTTGAATAGAGACGGTGGTCTGCTGATCCTGGTAAGTGGTAAAAACTTGTGACTTCTTGGTTGGGATAACAGTGTTCCTGGGAATAAACTTGGTCATTACACCGCCAACGGTCTCAATTCCAAGCGTCAGAGGAGCCATATCAAGGAGAAGAATATCTGTACAATAAAGCATTACATACAAATATCAGCATGGGCTGGATTCAATTAGGGCAATTTTATCAGCTATTGGCATGCACAGTTGTAACAGACAAAGTAACGGGAGATGAAAATGTACCTTTGGTCTCATCACCACCCTCTCCACTTAAGATGCCACCTTGTACAGCAGCACCATAAGCAACTGCTTCATCTGGGTTAACACCCTTGTTGGGCTCTTTTCCATCAAAGTAGTCCTTAAGGAGCTGTTGAACCTTTGGAATTCGTGTGCTTCCACCAACAAGAATAATCTTGTCAATTTGGGGTTTATAATGAAATTTAAGACTGTGTTGCAAATTTTAAAAGTTGGAAGATCTAAATGCAAGCGCTTGAAAAGTTCAGTGACCATATTACAAACGTACTAACGGCAGTGTAACGGTGTCAAACGGTCGGGGACCATATTGCAAACAGATTAAATGTTGGGACCATGTTGCAAACAGACTAAATATTGAGAGACTGTATTGCAAAATTTAAAAGTTGGGGGACTTAAATGAAATATTTAGAAAAGTTTAGTGACCATTACTATACTTTACCCATAGTTTAATTCAGTGCTTATTTGATCATCAAAAAAAAATCCTGAAACAGAGGTTTAAACTTCTAAATCATCACACACACAAAAAATAACTTTTCCTTTCGTCCAATGACTTCTCAATCCTTCCACTTACGCTTCTCTCCATCCCCCAAAACCTTGATTAATTCCAATTTTCCTGGAGACAACTCATCTTGTTTTTCAGCACCCTTTTTGAAAATCCCATCTTCAAGCTTTGGTGGGTTTTCTTTGAAGAGAAAAACACTGGGTTTTGATGGGAAAATTAATGGGTTTGAGGGGAAATTTGGAATCGTTGGTGCTTGGAGAGAAGAAGGGAATTTGGAAGAGTTGGATGATGCGCCATTGACGGTTGAATTGCAGCAAATTTGCAGTGAGAGTCAATTTGATCGAGTCATTGCTGAAGCTCAACAACTTGAGGAGTCTTTGATTATACTTTGGTTTGTATATATTTCTGGGTAGTTTATATGAATTTGTCTACTTCCTTTTTCTGTTTGTTGAATCCGAGAAATCGAGTTAATTTTTCAAGTCAACGCTTGAAAGGCTTTGTTGAGAATCGGATTTTTTTTGTATCAATTCTTATTCACGTTTAATGTTTTCTTTCATATTTAGATATACGTTGAGCATTAGGATAATCTTTTTCCCTTCCCATAAACTTCATACGCCATTCCCAAGATTTAAACTTGAAACATCTTTCTGTTTCCATCTAATGAGATCAATGAACATTACGTGGGTTTTCTTAACAAAGATAGTGAAAGGAAAACGTTGCTCCGACTCTTCGATTCTGAGGTATCCATGTTCGATGCATATCCGAATGTTCGTAGGGGGGTATGGCCGTTCAAATACATAGATAAACTTTTTCGACATTAAACATTCTCATATCGGACACAAAGCCTTATTCGACATTCTCACCCGAGTCCGAGAAACAAGTAGAGCTTTTCGGTCGTTTGTAATCTATTCCTTTTTGCCTGGAGAATTCGATTTTATGTTCAATCTTAAGTTCTCATTAATGATGTTGTTGAAACTTAGATGAAGACTATGTTATACGAGCTCTGGTGTAACTGTTACATTTGGATATTTGTTCAATATAGGCATGTTCTCTTTTTTATAAGATTTTTCTTGTTTGAAGGAATTCTTTAAACACTCATATCCCATATACACTTTCATATATGTTTCGGATATGGGTGTCAAACGCGAGTGTGTTGAGAAAATTTAGAGTCCGAAATAACGTAGGAGGAAGATATTATTGCTGCAAGTTTAATTTATCATCTTTAAAACAACCAATACAGTTAATTCTGTTGAAATTAATGTAAAAGAAGATTCTCTCTTTGCAGAATGTAAATCAACATGTTTGAGCACTTCATTTTCTTACCAGTATTCCGAGTTTGATTGTAAAACAAAGTTATTTGAACTTGTAGGATGGCAAGCTGGTGCAGAAAATGTATATATTTGAAACCAAAATTGGAAAAGTTGGCAGCTGATTACTATCCAAGGTAGCTTTCTTGTTGTTTCTCAAATCTTCAACACTATTAATCCGGCCAATCACAACAAATCTAGGGTAGCTTTCTTGTTGTTTCTCAAATCATTCTGGTTTATGTTGCTTGAATTCTTTTTCTTCTTGAAAAACCCGTGTCCAATTCAAATACCGGTATGTAGATTTGACTTTCCAAAGATTTGAAGTCAGTTGGGGGATATGAATTTTTTCCTACCATTCATTCAGACCAGGACCACTCTTGACTACTGTAAAAAAGTTGGTTTTTGATCATTACGCGGATATAGAAAACTAAAAGTGTCTAGTTTACAGCTAGTTTGGAGGAATTCAGCATCTAATGATGTTCATATTGTTCGGCTCCTTACTACAAATCCTTGTTACCACGAATGATAGATTATGGAGTCGATCAACCACTTTTCTGAACTCATACGAGTTCTTTCATTTTAAAATAAGGGTTTGGTCAGGGAGATTTTGATTTATTTAAGTACATCCTTCCATTGTTTCCTTCATCTTATGCAATAAATAAAATCCGACTATGAACCAATTCTCTTCCTCCTCAGATAGCCCCCAAAATTTTGCAATTAGACCTTTCATTGTGTTACATTGTGTTATCTTTCTAGTTGGCTGATAAATTCGAAGATGTCTTTCCCATTAAAGCACGAGGAGCTGAGTGAGAATCTTGTAGTACCTAAATTCGATGTTCAGGCTTTTGCATGCCTATACAAATTTGTTGTCGCCTTTGACTTTTGCAGTATTTCCTAGGCTACTGAAATGCTTCAATTCATCAATTCCTACACCTTTTCTTTCGGTTTTCCTTTTATCCGCTGCTTCTGCATCCCCAGATAATCCAATGGCTAAAATGTGTGTCCAAATTCTGCAATCATGATGCATATGTATCGAAAATAGTTTGTATCATGTAGGGTACGTTTCTTGCCTGAAGTTATTTGTGAATTATATCAAACAAGCTGGCTTGATTACTGTGATGATTAATCTTCTCTGGAATGATTTGTTCAGATTGCGGTTTTATTGTATAGATGTAAACACCGTTCCGCACAACCTTGTCGCTCGTGCTGGAGTCACGGTAAGTGCCCCATAACTTTGACAAACCGTTGCTTCACCAATCTGTCAGTCTATACATCTTTGTTTTCGGTAGTTAAACTCTGCTACATGATTTGATTGTTTGATTTGCATAATGTAAACATAGAATAGCAATCGCCTATGATCTTGAAAAACGGTTGCCAAACTTATTTTAATTTACTTAAGGTTCAATAACGTTAGATTCTGAAGTCGTATATCAGGCACATTCTTCTCGAAATATTTGTGTTCAAGGCATTTTTGGGTCTAGATACGAGGATATGATCCTCCAAGGACATTTAAAACATATGAAAAAGCTTAGAAGAAATTGTACACATGTATCAGACACATTCCTGTATCCCATACTCTTGAACAGAGAAAGAAGAGCATCTAACATACATGATCTCTTCTAAGACATGCATGATCTGCTGTATAAACATAGTTATGAAATTATGATTGACTGAACTGATTATTCCTTTATGCATGTCTCGATTCAACAACTCTCCAGAAAATGCCAACGATACAGGTTAGTACCATTTCTTTGAACTTTTTTTTCTTTTAAAAATATCCATGTCCAACGCATATTCGTCGTATCTGATAATGGTGCACTTGGATAGTTTGATTTGCTTACAGCACTTGCTTATTGTTACAGTTATGGAGAGATAGCAAGAAACGGGCTGAGATGATTGGTGGCCACAAAGCATATTTGGTTGTTAATGAAGTTCGCCAAATGATAGAAAATGAATGTACGTCGTGACGGATAAGAACATCTTTTTTAAAAGAAAAATTGAGCATACTTGTCTCCTTAGGCATCCTTTTCTTTTATACTCATCTCCGAATTCGAGCAACATAATCAAATTTTTTTTTACCATAAAAAAAATGGCTGTCCCTTGTTCCCATATAATAGGGTAAGGGGAGGTAAGATAGTATGCTGCCCCAACACCAGGTTGAGAGCAGCTTCCGTAGAAGACCTCCGAATAAACTTGGATTTATTTCTCTTTAATGTCTTCAGTTATAATGGCTATGAACTGATTTTCATAATGAGAAAGCAATGCCACCGATCCCTTCTGTTGTTGAGAAAGTTGAAATCCGATTTGTCAGAGAATTTTGGGTATTTTATTTTAGGCATAGAGAGTAATTTTGTTCTCGTAATTGTCTTAAATTAGTAATGTTGTCTATTGTTTTTAGTTGTATTAATTTAATTTTTGAACTTTTTGAATTACTGAATGTTGCCTTCTGATCAGTCAAAATCATTGTTAATCTTTACGGTATTAACGTGATAATTAAATGGGTTAACATGGTAGTTTACGGTGTTAATATAATAGTTTATGTGAATGATAATGTTATAAAAAGTTTAATTGATTTTTGTAGAAAATTTGAGGATTTATCTAATTTTTAAAAATTAATAAAAATATTAAAAGTTGATAAAATAAAAAAAAATTAATTTTATAAAATTAAAAATATCATAGATTATAAATTAGTAGTAAAATAAAAATATAAAATCATTTTGAATATTAAGTAGGATCTTAGTCTATTGTAAAGAAACTTAGATTGATATTTTATCGTATCATTTATATTGGGAATTAAAATTTAAGATTTAAAATAAGACCCGCGAATATTATTTTAGTATGAATTTTACCTTATTATTTTAAACTACACAATTTTATAAGTTACTGTTATTCTAATATAAAATCGATTCTACTGTAAGATTGTTATTATTAAGTTTGACTCAATGATGAAGCACCCAATAGATTTGGGTTCAAATCTCTCCAATTTCACTTTTGTTCCCTTTAATTTTCACTAACAAGATATATATTACCAAACATTAACATAAGATTTAAATTAATGGTTAGTGCTCTTAAGCCCCCTTTTCTAGGTTTGATACTCTTTGTCCCCCCTTTGATTCCCAATTTTTCCTCTGATAAGATTAAGATACGTGTAAGCAATTTATTAAATTAAAATTAAGATTAAATTGATAAAGTACATAAATAACGAGTACCAAATGTATGCAAATCTAGCTGTGGACTTTGACACATTTAGTTGGTCAAATTGGGGATTCATTTATATCTAACTAGTCCAGGATCAACCCCAAAACTAACTCAAACAAAAATTGGGGATTGATTTCTGCAACAATTCCGGTGAAGACTAAAAGATGTGGCAAACATGGAATCATACAACTACGTTACAAATATAGTCTCGGGTGTAAACGACAGCATTGTATCCAAGTCTCGGAATGATCCAAACCTTTCTTTCTTGCTGGCCAAGAAACAACAAAAGTGTAACCTTACAACTGTTTCACTTCATCACGAGACGGACATCTTGGTAAGTTAATGACTGGAGTGGTTCGACATGTCTTCGAGTTCGATATCGTGTTCTAATCTTCAATGGCATTTCCTCCATCAGACTGTTTTTCTTCTTCTTGTTCTTGCTGCTCTGCAAAACACAATAATTGACACCAATCAAACAGATTTTGAAATGAAGTAAGCAATCGGTTCATTACAGGATAGCACACGATCCCGGAAATTCAACTACTCGAGTATAAAATAAAGGTCTAAGTCCATGGCGTCTGGGGAATGTCCCTATGTACGCAGCTATATTGTTCTAAGTTTCTAACTCTTTATTCCTGAGGTACATCACATACAATCTCCAAGGATCCTCCAAATATATGGAAAAATAGAAAAATCTAACATTATCTGTATCAGATACATATCCATATCTGGTACTTACACCCGACTAAATTAGACACACAGCCTTCCCGCTGCTTGCAAAAGAGGATGTTTCCAGGGTTTAACCCCATGATTAAGCGTATAGCGGCACTAGACCATTACACCGTTTAAACATATAACATAGAGGTATTTTATATAACTAGATGTGAAAACTAAAAATCTAAATAAATAAATAAACACCAACTTTCCTCTTGTGTGTGTGTGTGTGTGTGTATATATGCATTTTTACACAGTACACTGATCTTTAACCTGCAGTAAGCTATATTACTCGGATTCAGCTGTGAGGGTTAGAACACGAGTATTTTACTGACATGGGTATCTTCAATTTTCCCCCAAAGTTTTACATGTAATTGGAGGGTCATATCCCCATACCCATGTCCAAAAATGTGTCCAATGTGTCAGCTGATATACAATGAATCTAATCAAACGGGATAGTTCATCTGACTTTAAAGCAAATTTGGAGAATGAAATTCATTATTATCGCTAAAATCTAAGGTTCCCATGAAAACTGAATCTAGTTTGAATATTCCATATATGTAGAAGAAATCGGTTGATCTGCTCACCCATAAGTTTGAATATTGCCTTTTGTGTGCGCCTTTCAAGCTTATCCAGCTTCTTCTGCACATCCCTTCGAAGATCCCAGTTTGGTTTCTTGGGAGCAATGTTGACAAATGGATCCTACACCATTTGATCCATGATTAGAACAAACAGAAGGAAACGCTGCTTTTTGTTAAACATGATATTGAAGATAAACAAGCACCTCTTTTTCTTCGGATGCTGGAGGTGCTGCTGCAACAGGGCCTTCAAACTTTGGCAGCACCGGGGGAGCAACCTTACCCTCCTGAAGCTCTTTATCATGAGGCACATAATTTCGAAACTTCATGCTAGGGTTACTGTGGAACAAAAAAGACAATGCATACAGGTTAATGATCAAAATTGTCGGTGAAAGAGAACAAAGCAGACAACCATGTAAACAGACATTCTATAACTTCATGCTGAAAACTCCATGTTACAAAAAAAGACCAGCAGCGAAGTAGTACATTTTGATGATTGAAATATTGAGTTCTGGGACAGTAAACAGGTAACCCTCTTTTATAAATTCTGTGATTCATCTCAGTACAAGTTGTAAACTAGAAATACCTAAAATTTATTTAGATCTATGGGGAGGTTTGAAAGTGAAGAGAATTAAGGAAGAATGGTGCTTTTCATTGTTTCAAGAATTTTTCAGGAACGCAATGAATAACAAGGGTTACCTGTCCCAAGATACCCTACAATCTGCATTCATTCAGCTTGCAAAAAATCGAGATGATACAAAGGGATAGGATGGATGATTACCCTCATCCTTAATTTTCCTTTCAACTTTGGCAATTGACAAAAATTCATAAGGATATAAAAGTTTTCTCCAGAACTTTGTGTTAAAACAACTTCATTCCTACCACACTAGCATGCATAGCCATTGAAATTTTTCCCCCAGATCTGCCCAACTTATCATCCTTCTTAACAAGCAAAGCCTCTTAGAAACAGACTCGATCCCAGGTCCTTTCCACCACACAACCAAAAGCCTTCCTTAACTTCCTCGTTCTCCAAAGTCCAAATTATCCATAAAAGGGAAACCTTAGCCTCTTCTTTCTCTTCTAGTTTACAAAAGAACACCCAAAACCATAGAGCAATTATTAGATATGGAAATATTTTTTCTCAGTCCTATTTGGTGCTGTAAGCAAGTCAAGCAATCCAACAATCTGAACCCCGGTATCTTAATACTTGGATCAAGCAGCTCCTAAGCTTGATTAAGTTTTTCAATTTCTTAAGATTATAAGTATATTTTATTTAATAGTCCAACGTGTTCGTGTGTATAAAATAAAATTTAGAAACGACGACAGCAACAACAACACAACAAAATCAAGATCAAAGAAGTGGAAATCAAAAGAACCGTTGAGGATCGAGCTTCTGCATACTGTTTCTACTAAGCTCTAGTTATTTAAACCCTAGGTATATCAGTCAATTTCAACAATGGATCGTGATATTCCTATACCCTTGGACCAAAACAGCCATATTTTCACAAGATAAACAAAACCCATCATGAAAACCAATTATTAAAAAATAGTTCACATTCAATTTATGCTAAAATAGAAACGAGGGGGAATCCGCGTTGGAATTGAAAATATGTAAGCTTTTTCATGCCATCTCTATACCCATGGTTCAAAACAGACATTCACAAGATAAACAAAACCCATTGTTAAGCCAATTATTAAAACATAATGCTTATTAATTTTATGCTAATAAACAAAGAAAATAGAAAATTAAGAAAATAAATAACGTATGTAAGCCTCTTAGCTTACTCCTCTTCATTGGTTTCATCCCTTTGATTTTCAGCAGCTTGAGCAGAATCTTCATCTGGGGCATTCAAAAGCTCCTGAGCTGCTTTAAGAGCCATAAGCCTCTCTCGACGTGACGCGGCCGCTTGTTCTATCGATTCCTCTTCGGTAGCCATATCTCGCCGGTTTCAATTGAGTCGAGTTGGGGTTTCTCTGATTAAAATAGGATTACTAGGTTTTAGGATAAAATACACCTTAGGTCACCAATAATGTGTTTGATAACAAATGTGTAACTTTTTTTGTAAAAGTTATAAATAGATAATTCAATTGAAATATTAGGATAGACTACATAAATGGTCAACAAAATTTTAGGGTGCTTGCATTTTGGTCATCTAACTTTTAAAACTTGTAATATAATCATTGAATTTTTAGTTCGTTTTCAACAATGTCCATGACGTAACTTCCTGTGTAACCCCTAGACCCAACATATGCGTTTCGACTAAGCCTAACAGATTACATTAATGATTCTTAAAGACATTTTTCTAAAAATATTATTCGATAATTTAAATCATATTACAAATTGGCATTTATAAAAAAATATAATAATACAATAAAGCCCAACTCGTGAATAAAACTAAAAAGTAACAAATTAATTTAAAACATGTCATAAAATCTGAATCATGATAAACCGAATATCAGTAGCAAAAGCAGTAGCCGTTATAAAATCAAATACTTCAAAATAAAGGATCATGCTTTAATAATAAAGTCAACTTGCAAGATAAAAACATTACAATCAGATGGACTATACGAAATGTGTCGATCCTCCAAGTGCTTGATCCCTGAGTAACTAACCAAAAGTATCTGAAAGGGGAAAAACATTTTGAAAAGTAAGTTAGGCTTAGTGAGTCCCAACAATACGATAAAATCATGATAGGTACATTAAACAAGTAATAGTTTAGTAAAATCTCATAAATCATAATGTAGTTTAGCTTTTTAAACTCGTAGTTTAAACCCATTGTATAAAGAGCTAACCTAAGAGAACATCTTAGGGCTTGAGAACCTACCCAAGAAAGTTCTCGAGGCCACGAGGCCTACCTAAGAAAAATCATAGGGCCGCAGGGCCTACCCAAGAATGATCTCAGGGCCGCAGAGCCTACCCAAGAGTCTCATTAGGTCCGTCAGAATTTACCAGCTTGATCAGAGCTGTAATTTATAATTCAGCATCTCAAAAATACAATTTATACAATAACATAATTTTCATAAATTGTAACACCCCTCAACCCATACCCAACCTGGATACGAATCCGAGGTGTCACACTGACATATCAAATCATTTACTTGCATAAAATAGTGAGTAATTTAAAAACTTTTATAACATATAATTGACCAATTTACATAAAATACATTTTCATTATTGCAAAACCGATCAGAGCGTGCATAATTCACTTATTCATTTACATATAACTTATTCAAAGCGTGTACAAAATTATTCAGAGATTATACAACATATTCTTTTGAATACATGCCAACATGAACTTATATAAATACTAACATACATATTGTTTATTTATTTTTTTCTGATCTGACCTTCAGTAAGGAGAACTGACCTGTCTTGCACCCCAACTATCCATAAGCTTGTAAGAACCTGCGTGTGAAACACTCACACGCTAAGTCTATGACTTAGTGAGACAATAAACATATAATGTAAACATTATCTAATAATCATACATAAACAATTACTACCATCATTCCATACAATTCATATACTTTTACATGTAACAAATACATATATACACACATATATATATCATTATTATTCATATCTCTTATCACTATCATTGACTCCTTTTATCGTATGATCTTATAATTACCCTTGTACAATCATATATCACATATAACATTTCATAAGGAAACAAGTATATCATCATATCAAGTTTTTAATATTATCTCTTTATTAGCCCATGGTATATATGTGAGAACTGTAGATACGTGAGTCTATTGAGGTTGTGTACCACTATGCTGTCACCACAGCTCGTATAATTGCACCGAAGTGCCACGTAGAATTACACCGGAGTGCCGCGTAGAATTGCACCGTAGTGCCATATAATAATGTCCATAAGGACCACATATCATTCCTTAAGAATCATATACATATACTAGGGATCAAGTATGTGTCTCACAAGACTTCACATATGTTCCAAAGAATATATATATATATATACATCCCGAAGGACCGCGTAGACCCTCGACTCTTGGCATGCCAACTATACCCCTAGCTCTCGTATAACATAACATGTGCATTATTATTATGTTATCACACTTTTACATATTCACATGTACATGTCACTTTCATATGATTCATATTCATATGTCATTTAACTTGTAACACTTCTCATGTTCATATAACATGAATATTACTAGTATCTCTTGTTATCAGATGCTTCACATATATTATATATATCACATTCATCTTTCCATTTATTTACATAAGCCACATAACATTTACAAGAACATATCCACACATATAATCAAACATACATGCATTTTCATGTCATTCGTTTCACTCTCTATATCCTTATCACATAGCTTATTTGATCTCTCATGTTCTTATGTAAGCACATATATATATCACACAACACATAGAACATGTTAAACATATCACATACAATAACATTTTAAGAGTTACTTCTTATTATAGTAACTCCGTCAATGGCTTATCGCAAGCCAATGTTCGTTCTATAAGTACAATTTAAATTACACTCACTGTAACACCCTTAACTCATATCCGACCCGAATACAAGTCTGAGGTGTCACATTGACTTTTCAAAACCTTGACTCTTATAGAAAATCCCGGGAATTTTTAAAACTTTCATTAAAACGAAATACTTTAATTTACATAAGACCATAAAATACAAAATCGATCAGAGTATTCGTAATTAACACTTATTACATGCCAACACTCTATACATAACCAAGTACATACTTTGTCAATTACTTCTGATCTGCTCTCTTAGTAGTATTGTTTTCCGTGCTACTTCTATTTCCACTTTTCCTGATTCTTGGTACCTACGTGTAAATCACTTACATGCTAAGTCATAGACTTAGTGAGGCAATAAATGAATATGCAACAATAAACTTATGAATGTTAATACTTACAATTGGATCATGACATTTCAATATGCATGTATCTATCGCACGATAACATATAATGCACATACGAAACTTACCTTCTTGTATCACTTTCACTGTAAATCGGTATTTCAATTGCATAGGCCATGTATATTATTGAGATTAGAGGTATGTGAGTGCATTGAGGTTGTGCACTAATGCTGTCACCACATCTCGTATCTATTCCCTCATGGGGCACCGAACCTTAGTTCAGTATTCATCCCGTAGGACTCCTACATCCCGAAGGACTACGTCCCGAAGGACTATTATACCCTCGACTCTTGGCATGCCAATTACACCTATAATTCTCATATCGTATACTGTAGGCATTATTCTTATATTTCATATGTTCATGTACTCATATCATTTCTCTTGTGATCATGTAGCTCATGTCATTTCTCTTGTGATCATGTAGCTCATGTCACTTCATATCATGTTCTCATATCACAGGTCATATCACATATCATATCACATGAACATATATATATCTTATGCATGTATCACAATAATTATCATGTATGCATGTTCACAACTACTGTATTATAAAAATCAACATAGGGGTTAGACTTATCAAAAGTCTTATTCCATTATAATATACATATAGTATGCACTTACCTTAGCTTTGCTTTGATTCGATTCTAATCCTTTGATCATTCCGGAATAAGCTTACTTTTAGTATCTACATAATCACACATGGATCTATATCAGTATTATAACTAATATACTCTAATGGTTCACTCTTTAGACTAAGAGAAAAGTCAATTTCATCTTTTAATGAAGGTATGCATCGATGCACTACTGATGCATCGGTGCATAAAAGGTATTCGATATAGTATTATTGCTGGGATGCATCGATGCACTCCTTATGCATCGATGCACCGATTGCATTCGATGTTTCACTATTAATAGGATGCATCGATGCACTACCTATGCATCGATGCACAAATTGCATTCGATGTCTTTATTTTAAAAGAGTGCATCGATGCACTACCAATGCATCGGTGCACATTCAAACAATTTCTGGGTTTTAACCTTAATGCATCGATGCACTCTGCCCATAACCTCTTTTTGAACCCGAAAATCCATTCATTTTGGATTAAATCCTTCATGTTTAATCTCCTCTTTCACTCTTAACTCTATTACACATCCTTAAACCAATTTATACTCATTTATTTCATCTTAAACCTTCAAATCCTATCCTTCATATGTAATTCAAGAATTACATTAATAAATCAACATGTTTGAATTCCGTTTTTAACACTTCGTATATCTTAACTAGATTGATGACAAGTCAAATTTAACTTTCAATTCTAGTTATTAACTCTATTCCAAGATTTCATTTAAGAACTTCAAATCTTAAGTATCTCCTAACTCAATCATCCTTTGATGTTAAGATAACTTAAGCTTTCCTTAAGCTTAGTTATCATCTAATAATCAAAACCCAATATTAAATTTAACAAGAAACTCAATAATCAGAAATCTTACCTTTGCTTTGGTTCACACGTACAAGGAAGAAAGAAGAAGAAGATAACTCTGGAAGGCTTTGGTGTTCTCTTCTTTTCATTCCACTTGTACTCATATATATCCTTATCCCTTCTTTAATTAATTTTCCTTGCAAATGACTCTTTTGCCCTTCCATTCCTTTTTCCTTTCAATTCAATCCTACACAATCATTTACATATAAATCTTTATACTATTCATTCATTCTATTTTAATCACCAAAATCTGACACTTTCCAATTTAGTCACTAACCCGGTATTGAAGATGTTACAACTCTCCCCCTTAAGAAAATTCGTCCTCGAATTTTCATTATGCAAAAAGGTAGGGGTACTTAATCCTCATATCCTCTTCACGTTCCCATGTTGCTTCCTCTACTTTGTGATTCCTCCACAAGACCTTAACCAATGGAATAGTCTTGTTCCTTAGTTGTTTAACTTCGTGAGCTAATATTTGAACAGGTTCTTCCTCATAAGTTAAATCTGGTCGGACTTCAATTTCTTCAGGAGTCACAATGTGAGATGGATCAGATCTATATTTCCTAAGCATTGAGACATGAAAAACAT